CTCACTCACTCACTCCAGTGAAGACGGTCCTCTGGAAATGGACTTGCTTGGGCATCCTCCTCTCTTCTGCAATTTTGCAAGCTCCTGATGATGTGTTGATTGTAACACGAAAGGCCTAGAGCTATCATTCTACAGCTATCGTTGTTTAGTATCCTGTATCGCTTGGTTTGCGATATTGTATAATATATATATATATATATATATATATATATATATATATATATATATATATATATATATATATATATATATATATATATATATATATATATATATTATATATTATATATACAAAAAATGAATTGTTAGGCAAAATTTAAAATGAGAATTTTTTCCTCCTCAGATTATTTTCAATTCTTCAGAAAATTTAGCCAAAAAAATTTATATAGACTAATATAATTTTCTTGCCAGGTGTGAATTTCCTCTTTTAAAAAATGTATATAAATCATCCTTTCCCCAAAAAACACTTGCCATTATGGCCACCCTGAAGTATCCCTCCTCATGATTTTCCTGAAAGATTTACTCTCACGACGGCCTTTTAATATCCTCCCTTGCTATTTTCCCTGAAATATTCTCATTATTAGTCTGCTAAAATATTTCCTCTCATAAGTGTCGTAATAAGATATTCTCCTCTTGATTTCTTATGTACATAGTGTTTTTTACTTTAAATTATGCATTATAATAATAATAATTATTATTATTATTATTATTATTATTATTAGTAGTAGTAGTAGTAGTAGTAGTAGTATTAGTGGTAGTAGTAGTAGTAGTAGTAGTAGTAGTAGTAGTAGTAGTATTAGTAATTGTAGGATTAGTAGTAGTTGATATTATTATTATTATTATTATTATTATTATTATTATTATTATTATTATAGTAGTAGTATTAATATTATTGTTGTTATGATTATTATTATTATAATTACTATTGTTATTGTTGTTGTTAATAATAATAATAATAATAATAATAATAATAATAATAATAATAATAATAATAATAACAGCAATAATAACAATAATAATAATAGTAATAATATCAATAATAACAGTAATAATAATAATAATAATAATAATAATAATAATAATAATAATAATAATAATAATAATAATAATAATAATAATGTTATTATTATTATTATTTTGATTCTTATTATTAAATAAACCGAGACCTGCTTATCCGAGAGTTTGCATTAATCCCTATTTTATGTATTAAACTATTCTTGGCTGGCAGTGAACAGTTGACATGCAACCTTAATGGCCCTCGTGCAGTCGACAGGCTTTAAACTTCACGAACCACAAACTTATCCAATACACATCCAAAAACAAAACAAAAAAATACACTAATGTGAGGGTCATCAAAGGTTTGCAGAAAAACTCACGTCAGGAGAAATTTTAAAAATTTCTTACAAACAAAAGACTATCAACATTTACGAAGTATTACTTGATAACACTTAGGTGTTCTGATTATATCATTTTTTAATTGATTTCTCTTTGTTATACAGTGGAACCTTGGTTGTTGAAAGGATTATTTATCCAACAAATCGATTTTCGAGCAAGGAATTCGGTCCTGGTATTCGTACGTGGTCTTGGTTGTCGACCAACGACGCTCGGATCACATGTTCACAAGAGTCCACAGCGTGAGTCTCAGTAAGTATAGCGACTAACGCGTACTGTTAACATCTCCTGGGTTCTTGATGTGCATCTTGTGAACGTAATGAAACCAAAAGTACGAAATTTGATGGAAAACTTACGGAATTACGCTATCGCGAAGTTAGCGGTCTCGGCGATATTTACGCATCGGCGATTTCGCTCACTTTGAGCCCTATTTTGGGCCAGTTCCTTGTTTCAGACGACCAAACTCACAGATGTTTCACTAGAATTCCTTTTATTCTATCGACTGAATACATAAAAACTGCCCATTTACCTATTTTAGCTACCCAATAAAGTCATCAGAAATTACTAATTTGGCCAATTTCACACAAAATTCACGAAATGCCAATTTCAAAATAGGGTCCAGCATAAACAATGCAGACATTCCTGGCACTAAAATAACATTTTATTTGTTTATTAATCATGTCTCCAGGCTCTCTTTGCATTTTGAATTTTTATTTACACCAAAAAGAGAAGATTTACTGTTATTCAGACTACTGAATAATTATAATAATTGTATAAATAATATCAGCGCATTTGTGAATGCATGTTAGACCAGCCAGTTGACGCATATTGGACGTGTGACGTGATTTCTTTACTCCTACTCATCAGCAAAAATCGAACATTTCCGCTATTTTGAGCTCAATTTCAAGCTACTTTCATTCTTTAAACCATTGAAAATCATGCATATTTCTGTAATATATCTTTAATTCTATCAAATGAGACCAAGAAAACGAGAATAAAACCACAAATACCATATGAAAATGCACCGCAAAAGTCGCTGTTTAAAACCAAAAACACGGTCCCTCATTGTGCACTGCGTGCTGCTTTATCCCGCAAGATTTGAAGCCACTAGAATTTTGCCTGTAACTCTCCTCTGACACGTAAGAGGCAGTTAAATTTTCATTTACTGTACAGTTTTTTCAGTTAAATTTTCATTTGGTATTAATTTTTACAGTTTCGGTGTGCTTTATAATTTTATACATTGTTTTATGTAATAATTAGTACAGTATTATTAATAAATTATTATATCGTCATTTTCGTCTGAAACGGATTAATTCTATTTACATTATTCTTTATGGGAAAATTGGTTTGGTTGTCGACCACTTGGTTGTCGAACCGTCATCTGTATCGAATTAAGTTCGACAATTTGAGTCAGATGGGGTTTCAACGCAAAAAAATGGAGCACCATAATAGCTAGTTTACTGTGCATTCCCATGGTCTTCCTATGGAGGGTAGTGCAAAGGTTTATCGTGAACTCCCATAGTCTTCCTATGGAGGGTAGTACAAGGGTTTATTTTGCACTCTCATAGTCTTCCTATGGAGGGTAGTACAACTGTGTATTATCCACTTACATCCTTTCTTCCAAGTTACCATATCGGCACAAAATTTTTTTTTCAACCAAGAATATCCTTCAGTTTAACCTTTCCAATTATATTCACTAATAGTTTCTGTTCTTTATTACTACAAAATATTTTTCCCCTTTAACTGCTGCTTCGTTCGTAAAATTAACAGTATTAGAAGCTTACCTAAACAGTTCGAATTCTTCCCCTATTATAAATATTCCGGCAAAAGCTATTTAGTTTTAGTTATTGCATTGACGTTTAACTTCGTTTACATCCCCTATTTTCAGCTACGTAATTTCCCCATATATTTGTTAAACCAATTTAAATAGGTAACTGGATAATATAGAAAATTGAATGAATTCTTCCCTGAGGTTTCATTTTATTGCATTACGACGTTTGATAAATAAAATACCTGTGCATCTTGTGGATAAATTAAACACATATGCAACACTTGGGTACCTTTATCGTGGAAACGTTTCGCCAGTTAATGGCTTCTTCAGTCTAATGCAGAGAAGAATGGTTGAAGGTCAGAAGGTTTTTGAGATAATCAGTCCCTCCTTATGATATTCTAATATTCTTCTCTATATTGGACTGATGAATCCACTGTGTGGCGAAACGTTTGAAGAATGAATATTTCCAAGTGTTGCACATGTGTCTAATTTATCTACCTGCCGGCTCCCTGAACGATTTATCTACATCACCTGGATAACTTTTCTTAAGAGACGTTTCGCCCACACAGCAACGTTTTACACTCTAATACAGGGGCAAGACGGCGGAGACTTTTATATCAAGACTCAGTACTCAGTCCTCACTGATTTAGAAAAGGGCTCTCGACAAAGTCCAAAACATAATCTGAGGGATTGGACACCCGAGCTAAGCCTGGGTATCTTTGAGGACGTTTCGCCAGTGGTGTCTAATTCTTTATTCTGTCAGTATTGTATCCCTTTATTACAATGACATAATCATATTCTACGAAGAATTAAGGGAGATGGGATCAAATTATTAATATGTTTATTAAGATTTACACGACTGCAATCTAAGCTTAGCTGGTTGAGTGGTTAACGCACTCGCCTCTGAGTTTTTAAGACTCACCTTCCATAGGTTCAATCCCCCACCAGTTCTGTGAATTGTTTGCATTAAGAAATACAGCTAAAAGACGGAAGAGCTAATAAAGTGTGGTATGGAAAACTTTAAAATGTACTCAGAATGGAGCCGGGCATACCTCAAGGAGGTGTCTACACCCCCGAGCGTTTTGGCGATCTCCTGACCAGTCAAAAAATTCTCTAACTTGTTTTTTTTTTTATGTAGGGTTCGCGAATTATTGCATTGGTTTAGTACCCATGCCAGGACAAATTAAAGCTAGCAGTAAAGGAACCTGGTGAATTGTGCAGGGACATTGCCTTCGTTACTTTAGTAATTAATACAAAAGCCTTACTGCATGTGACAGAAACGGTGATAGACACATCAATGACCAGATACCTTGCTAAAAATCTGAGTGTGTGTGCAGGAAAGAAATAAAGAAAAGAGAAGATAAATAAAGTAATATTTCTTTAAAAGCTTAGGAAAGCATAAAGCTAACTTACTGTACGGAAATGAGTAATATTAATAGCCATGTGTAAGGTAAACAGTGTGTACCCAAGGAATGATTTAGACAAATAATGCTTTTATACTCTCGACTCTTGGTAAAACGAGATGCCAGGAAACTACATAAAAACGTCGAGAACGAAGCCTTTGATGATAGTTATAAGCAGGACAAGCTTTATATTAAGACAACGTTTTGCTCTGTGTAGAATTCCATCACCTCATCCGAGTCATGACTTGATTAAGCTTTATACTGCGCGAAACGCTGTCCCAACAGAAGCTTGTTGTGCATCCTGTATCTCTTTATACCTGTCAGCAACACGTAAGTGTACCTCAACTCGGGGCAAATAAATTTCAACTCCTCTCACTCACTGCTTACATTAAACACTAAGACGAACTGGGAGACCCAAGACTACATGTACTCACCCTGAAGAAGGCCATGGTGGAGCCGCCTTCTAGAGTACCGTACTCGATCTCACTCTGCTCAGCGAGGTCCTCAGCGCTCTCTGTCCCGAGAGAAACAACCATTTAGGAAATTTCACAAAATATCAGCGTATTTGCCTAAGTAAGTTTCTGCCCTTAAAATGAAGAATGATGCTCTCGGAGATGATAATTTCCCAAACTTAAACATAATCATTATGTTCAATAATAAGCTACGTGGAGACGGAAATTCAGAAGGGGATCGAAATATATAGACCTGACCTGACTAGGTGGGTCATTGGTTTAAGCCGGGAGATGACTTAAGCCTGCCTCTCATGGGCCAGTAGGCCTGCTGCAGTGTCCCTTTTTTATGTTCTTAAGACCACTTAATCTTCTGAGTTACTGTCTTTATGTGGATTATTGCTGAGCACTGACAAGTCTTCATTACACTTTTGTTATTCAAAGAAGACAGTCTTCGGATTATTAACCCCAAAGAGCTATTAACCCCAGAGAGCTATTAACCCCAAAGAGCTATTAACCTCAGAGAACTATTAACTCAGGATAGACCGAGAAAGTCAGTGGTATTCATTGGAGTTGGGTCTTTTCCTTCTCCACTCCAGGATCCCACCCACAACACTCAGCTAACAGGTACGAGTATGTTACTTAAATGTACATAAGAACAACTAATCAGACATTTTTTACGGCTATGTTACGCTCTCCAGGAGCTTTATCAAACCAGTACATGTATACTTGCTCAGTAACACCAACACTTACCAATAGGGGTGATCATCCGTTCAACGGTGAGAAAGGCAGCGAGGTTAGCAGTGTAGGAAGAGATGATAATGAGGGTGAAGAACCACCAGATGCCTCCCACGATCCTCGTAGAGGCAGCCTGCAGTACAACCCACAACCAAACATTACGCCAGCAGGTCCCAGGAGAGAAAGGGGCAGGAAGGGGTCGTGGCTATCAGGATTTTTAGGGTCATTAATGCTGCATGTAACATATATACCACCAGTCAAGAATACTTTAATTCCTCAGCGTATATACACTTGAGATATATACTCCTATTAGTGTATATGCCTGTGTGAGGGTCAATGATATAAACAGAAACAATATTTCTGTTTATTTCTATAGTAATGGAAATTAAACACCAGATGCAGACACAGGTGTTACCAAATACCAGATATCCCTAAACATGTGTGTTTTACAACCCATCATATCAAGACAACAATGGTATCAAGACAACTGTTGTCTTCAAAGACAGTACAATACATATGCAAAAAAAATTAATTATAAATCTAATTTATTGCAAATAAAAGACAATGGAATGATTACAGAAAGAAACTAATGTAATTATATATCGTATTTATTACTAAACATCTGGTGTTTATGTAACAATGTTTCAGACCTGAGAAGGTCTAAGTTCCAGGAGCTTTAAGGTTAAGGTGTTCCAAGCAGAATATGGTATTCAAACACTTAGAATCATCAGTTGTTTTAAAAATTACATACTGAAGGTGCTGGATTCTCTCTCTCTCTCTCTCTCTCTCTCTCTTCTCTCTCTCTCTCTCTCTCTCTCTCTCTCTCTCTCATCTCCGGAGTCTGGACATACATTATATTTCCATCATCGAAGTAAAAGGCTTTTCGATCATCGAAGTTCAAAATATTTCGATAACTGAACTACCAGAGGATCCCTTAATTACTTCGAAGATTATTATTATTATTATTATTATTATTATTATTATTATTATTATTATTATTATTATTATTATTATTATTATTATTATAAGTTATCGGAATGCTGTAACTCATGGGGGTCAATCATTTCCTGGGGAGGTGATGGGAGGCAATCAATTTAGATCCAGTGAAGGGAAGATTGACTCCAGTTGCAATCATCAACAATTCTTCACCAGCGTCAATTCACGTCCCTTGAAGGAACAAACCCCCAGGAGAGAGAGCGAGAGAGAGAGAGAGAGAGAGAGAGAGAGGAGAGAGAGAGAGAGAGAGAGAGAGAGAGAGAGAGAGAGAGAGAGAGAGAGAGAGAGAGAGAGAGAGAGAGATTTCCCTAGATGTTGGAAATGCCATGTACCTCCCAGACTACGATTTCTTAGACACCAGTCATCACACTGTTAGCAGAATCTATAGAGACTGCTGCTGACTATATTAAAGGAAAGACACCTTGAAGAACAATCCTCTATTGGGGCACGTTTCGCTCCCTTTACAGATATTTCGATCATTGAAGTACATGATATTTCGGTCATCGAAGTAGAAAGTACTTCAAACATCGAAGTACAAAACATTACTGAGAGAGAGAGAGAGAGAGAGAGAGAGAGAGAGAGAGAGAGAGAGAGAGAGAGAGAGAGAGAGAGAGAGAGAGAGAGAGAGAGAGAGAGAGAGAGAGAGAGAGGAGAGAGAGAGAGAGAGAGAGAGAGAGAGAGAGAGAGAGGCTTGTCTGTATAAAAGCTTGTACTACAACTGTATCTCTTTCTTAACACGTTATTGTTTTATCAACCTTAGTGGGCGTGTGACCAGGCCTCCAGCAGGCGTGGAGAACAACACCCTGCAAGCAACCATAGAGATTGTGTAAGCACCCGTATCACTGCAGAAGCGCTGGTTGCAACATAGACCAGAGTGCAACTCTACTGTGGGTCAGAGGTCATGCAGCTGCCACAATACCAAAGCTTAACCAAGGGGATTTCGCTAGCATAATCGGTCAAGCGTCGCACATATCCTGACGCTGCAGATACAAGCAAGGTACTGGTCGGACGCACATCTCAGAAGCTTTGAGAGTTTAATACCTCCTTCAGAATAACTTTGACTCGCATATAGGAAAGGTAATTATAATTCACAATAAAACACTTGATCCATAAGGGCTATAATGTTTTATAATGATATATGACTGGGGATGCGCCCTTCTGTTCGATTATTGGAAGGTAGTCTAGTCTAACGAGAAGAAAAAGTATTTGAGTTCTGACGGCTATATAGAAAGGTATTTGTGAGTATAATGTTTGTATAAAATACAGAGATGTATGGAGAGTTGGGTTTGTATGCAGGTATTGAGTAATTAGTCCTGGTCCTGCATGTTTGTATGTGTGTGTGTGTGTGTTGTGTGTGTGTGTGTGTGTGTGTGTGTGTGTGTGTGTGTGTGTGTGATTGTGTGTAATGTGTGTGAAGTTCTGTTTAATGTAATGAGTAAGGAGTAATGGAAGATGTATGAAAAGTCATACATAAAGTCGTGTATAAAGTCAAGTGCATATGTGTGTATATGTGTGAACTTACGTTCTTGGGATAGGAGGGCGAGATGCCAACAGGATGGAGTAAAACACGTCCATGGAGCGCAGGCGTTTATCATGACAACGTTTCGCTCTATGACACGTTTAATTAAATCGGGAAACTTGATAGAGGTTTTCACAGAGAGAAATACTGCCACGGTATCAGCTTGCTCAGCCTGAGTGACTTTCACACAGACCAGGTAGCCAGGCTACGAGATATCAGTAATTTGCCTAAATTAAAATTTCTGAGCTACTGCAAATATGGCATAAGTTAAAATAGAACATGACTGAACTTTGGCAGAGATCCATGACATATTTATACCTTAGACGGACAAGAAGGGGCAGGGATCTTAACACGACACCCAACCAAACTCACAAAGACTCTGATATGTACTCTGGATGTCCAGGAGAGAGAGAGAGAGAGAGAGAGAGAGAGAGAGAGAGAGAGAGAGAGAGAGAGAGAGAGAGAGGGAGAGAGAATGGACAGTCCCAGTATAAGGTGCTTACATTCTCTATGGCACAGGAATAAGACGCAGGCGATATTACATAATAGAGGTATATAAAACACAGAAGACATCAATACACAAGGATTTAGGGACTGCAAGGGTGGGAAGACTAGCAGCATCAATACAACATAACGTCAAGAAGGCTTAGCTCTCTAAGAAGTAAATGATTACTAGAAGTGAGTGGTTATTTCTAAGAAAATTTCAGGAATTTCTAGCCAATGTTGATGCGATGATGATATAGAATATGTAGTGATGATAGCTAGAATATATAGTGATGATAGCGTAGAATATATAGTGATGATAACGTAGAATATATAGTGATGATTATGTAGAATATATAGTGATGATAACGTAGAATATATATGATGATAAGTAGAATATATAGTGATGATAACGTAGAATATATACTGATGATAACGTAGAATATATAGTGATGATAACGTAGAATATATAGTGATGATAACGTAGAATATATACTGATGATAACGTAGAATATATAGTGATGATAACGTAGAATATATAGTGATGATAACGTAGAATATATAGTGATGATAACGTAGAATATATAGTGATGATAACGTAGAATATATAGTGATGATAACGTAGAATACATAGTATATATGTGATGTTCCCCTACAGAGACAAATATATACATGGGAGAACAAGCTTCTATTGAAAGAGCATTTCGCCCTGTGTAGAGTCTTATGACTTGATGAAGCTCTACCCAGGGCGAAACGTTATCGAAATCAAAGTTTTCACTGCAAACTTTAACATCTGTCGCCGAAATTTTCGATATTGCTGGTGTGTCGTCCGTCTACCTGGAATATACCCGGAGGAAGTTCCGGGGCTCAACGCCCCCCCCGGGCCCGGTCCATGGCCAGGCCTAGCGGTGAATCAGGGCCATGAGTTGCTCAGCATGATATTAATAGTGTGTTGGCCATCTGCATGATATTGATAGTGTGATGGCCATCTGCATGATATTAATAGTGTGTTGGCCATCTGCATGATATTAATAGTGTGTTGGCCATCTGCATGATATTGATAGTGTGATGGCCATCTGCATGATATTAATAGCGTGTTGGCCATCTGCAGTTATTAATATGTGTTGGCCATCTGCATGATATTAATAGTGTGTTGGCCATCTGCATGATATTGATAGTGTGATGGCCATCTGCATGATATTAATAGCGTGTTGGCCATCTGCACGTTATTAATAATGTGTTGGCCATCTGCATGATATTAATAGTGTGTTGGCCATCTGCATGATATTAATAGTGTGTTGGCCATCTGCATGATATTAATAGTGTGTTGGCCATCTGCATGATATTGATAGTGTGATGGCCATCTGCATGATATTAATAGCGTGTTGGCCATCTGCACGATATTAATAGTGTGTTGGCCATCTGCATGATATTAATAGTGTGTTGGCCATCTGCATGATATTGATAGTGTGATGGCCATCTGCATGATATTAATAGCGTGTTGGCCATCTGCACGTTATTAATAATGTGTTGGCCATCTGCATGATATTAATAGTGTGTTGGCCATCTGCATGATATTGATAGTGTGATGGCCATCTGCATGATATTAATAGCGTGTTGGCCATCTGCACGTTATTAATAATGTGTTGGCCATCTGCATGATATTAATAGTGTGTTGGCCATCTGCATGATATTAATAGTGTGTTGGCCATCTGCATGATATTAATAGTGTGTTGGCCATCTGCATGATATTGATAGTGTGATGGCCATCTGCATGATATTAATAGGTGTTGGCCATCTGCACGATATTAATAGTGTGTTGGCCATCTGCATGATATTAATAGTGTGTTGGCCATCTGCATGATATTGATAGTGTGATGGCCATCTGCATGATATTAATAGTGTGTTGGCCATCTGCATGATATTAATAGTGTGTTGGCCATCTGCATGATATTAATAGTGTGTTGGCCATCTGCATGATATTAATAGTGTGTTGGCCATCTGCATGAATTAATAGTGTGTTGGCCATCTTGCATGATATTAATAGTGTGTTGGCCATCTGCATGATATTAATAGTGTGTTGGCATCTGCATGATATTTATAGTGTGTTGGCCACTCATGATATTAATATGTGT